AAGAGTATAGGTGGATTTTGGTAGGGCTTATATTTTCAAATTAAGACCCCAAATTTCACGATGATCTGATTTCACGACATTTAATATAAAAAAAAATCATACTATAACAATATTTAAAAAAATCAAATCGATGTACGATTCTTTTTGAAACAGCCTATATATATATATATATATAGATATATAGTATATATACATAAAACTAAGTTCCGGGATTAGGTCTTGGACTGGACCTAAGGGAATTTTTATTATGTATACGAATACATTTATGTTTCAATAATAAATTTAGTTCAAAAATCAAAATGCGGTTTGATAATTGATACCGATACAGAGCAAAACACTTAAAGCCATATTTATAGTAGGTGCCAAAAACACGGTTGCTTTGCTCAATTATTTTTATATACTTTAAATTTAGAAATCACCGGAGGTGAAGTAAACTTCACCAGTATTTGTTTTTGATATTATTATAATAGGATTTTATAGAACTTTTAACAAAAATTTAAGGTCAAAATTAGACTTTAAGGTTAGGATCAAATAAAAGTTAGAGATTAAGGCTTTTTAGGGTGCTAAACATTTTTACTTGGTATATACTTCAAATACTAATCACTAAAGCCGTTCTTGAGAAATAGCATACCTGGTAAATTTCACCTCCGGTGAATATTAAAAAAGTCCAAAAAAAAATTGCGAACATTGAGAGCTATTATTAATACAGCTAATTTATTAATATTAAAAAAAAATAAAAATGATCTAATTTTATTCTAAATTTGTACAAAGGTATGTTTTCTAAAAATTGTTATATTTATACAGTATTATCATTATTATTTTTGATCACATCATAATCGTCAGGTAACAAGAGTATACGCCAGGAATACAGGAATAGGATTCATTATAACTTTGGCTTTATAAAGAAGATTTTAAATTATAAAATATGGTTAGTATTGTATTTTGAAAGTTCTAAAACCACAGTAGCAAGATTTAGAATGATAATTATCACGTTATCAGAGTTTAAATATTCAGTGACCCAAAATTTCAACATTGGAATGGTTTATATTGATTTATATAGAATTATTTTATTACAAAAAAAACAATTTACAATTTTAAAAATAAAACATTTTCTAAAAAAAAGTTTATATCACAATTGTCTCTCTTTTGTGATCGTTTTTCGTAAAAAAAAATTTAAATTTTTTTTTTTTTTAAAAAAGGGAATCAAAAGTCTGAGAATCATCTATATTAGAATCGGTAGTAGTATTAGAATCAGTATTAGAATCATCCTTATTAGAATCGTCTTTATTAGAATCGGTATTAGAATCGTCCTTATTAGAATTATTAGAATCATCTATCTTATTTTCGTTTTTATCATCGTTTTCGTCATCGCACCCACACTTGTATTTATCAGCGATTGAACCGCAGTCAAAGATTTCTTTTCCTAAACGTACGTTGACCATATTATGAATAGCGCACGCCCATTGAGATGCAGCTTCTCTAGAAGAAACTTGAGGTGGATAGCTTTTCAAAATTTCTTGAAATTCCGCCGCACTAAAGTAAACATATAAATATATTTATAAAGATGAAAATTCATAAAATATTTCTTATGATGCTCACCATTCACCGCAAGGATATAGCCTACTAAACAAATGAATGAAATTTCGCAACGCTTCTTTTTCATCTGTGGTCGGATTCTCCGGGAATCGAGCCATCATAGTATGAAGTAACTAATAATAGTTAATTAAATATCAGATATGAAAAAAAAATTCAAGTGAAATTTCCGAATCACATGATCATATAACTCCTCGAATAATCTATGTTATACCTTCCAAGTTGCCCGTCCAAGCTCAGCTCTATCACAAGTTTGATTTTTTTTGATAAACGTTAATTTTAAATGAATTATAAAAGAATTAAACTCAAAACGTTTAGCATACATACTTTATGGTATCATTTTTTAGTTCTGGCATAACAACTGGCCCATGAACTACTTCGAAAGAAATTTCAGGTATTTCAGGTATTTCAGGTAACGAGTTACCTACTTGTTCGTTAAAGTCAGGTAATAACCTTTCATTAATAACAATATCGGTATAATTTAGGTAAAGAAGTGTAGGTAAAATAATTAGAGCGATCAAGATGAAAGAAACAGCAAGTGGGCGCATATTTTATATGTTGTTATGAATAAAGCATATAGAAAGAACAAAAAAAAAATGAACCGAAAGAAAGACAAAAACAAGTCAGTAGTCGATACTGCTTTAAAATGGTTTAAATAAAAGCATCGACACAATAAGCCTTAGACTTTTAACATGATTTTTTTATCATAAATTATATAAATTATTTTTAAGTAGTAATATGCGGATTTGCAGATTTTATAAAATTAACTACTGTATGAAAAACTATAGATAAATAAAACTGCACCTGTGGCAACATAAATAAACCTATCCAATCAATCGTTAACGTTTACAGCGTCAGTTTTAAAATGTTTGTTCTAAAATGTTTTGTTTGTAATATTTATTTGGAGGTTTCAATATTTGAAAAGTTTCAATTTTCAAACAAAAAGAACATTTCTTTTTTTTGAAGAAAAAGTTTAATTATAAACTTTTACATGGCAAATAAAATAAAGCGGCAAGCGCAGTCAGTATTGCAATCACAGAATGTTTTCTTGTTCATTCCGAACATTATAGGTAAATCTATGATAAAAAAAATTTACGATCTTTTTATTTAAAATTCCAGAAAGCCTGCAATACTTTTCTTAGCTTTGCTAACTACATAGATCGGATTTCATAGGTTATACTCGAATCATTCTTGCAATACTCTCTTTGTATTACATGCCATTCTCACCTTGGACATGTATGATGTTATATACAATTTCATGCTTGTTAGATGCGGTGGACGGCAACGCTGCCAGATATTTTAATCAATGTAGGTGGTTCCACAAAAGCAGGAGTTTTTCGTGTGAGTCTAAATACTAGAATGTAGTTTCTTTTATATGTAGGCACTAAGTTTGGTGTAGTTTTAGACATGGTCACAGATAGGTACGTATATGTTTCTATTACTTATTTAGCGGTATATTAATAGTTCAATTCCTAACGAATTCTAGAACCTTAAAATATATACAGATCTAGTACAAGTTGTTTATTATGTTATCTTTCCTCTGCTTACCCTTCGTGGAGAATCATATTTCAATTATTAATATCTTTGGACCTTAGTAGTCATTATATGCATATGTATAGGTGAGCTAATAATGTGATTGAATAAAGTGATATCATATGAGAGAAAACTACTTATATATATATATATATATTGAAGCACATTAACAGCCGGTGCTTCTAGTCATAAGAAAATATCAGAGTCTTCGAATCGTATGCTGAGGGTTTACTATTCAGATAATGTTAGTTTTTTTTCTTTTTTTTTTTTACGTTAGGCAACTATTGTGTGCTGAATTTACCAATAATCAATATTTTCAAAAATAATTCAAATATAGAGGGTACTTTTTGCCGTTTGTGCGTTCAATGAGTTGTTTTTCGTTGCATTATACCTTTTATCATTCGAAGGACAATCTACCTGTGAGTTTAAATTCAATCAAATTTTTTTTTATTTCCGAATTTTGATTCTAATTCTATATTAATGATTTTTATATTCAAAAAAGTCCCACAGTGGAGCATCTTTCCTCTTTATATTCTTGCATTATTTTCATTTCCTATTTGTGCCGGCAAACAAGTGATTAATATAATTCAATTGGTGGGCGCAAGCCAGAGCTTAGCAAAAGTTGATATAGAGGATCGCCAAATGGCAGCTAAAAAAATTAGTTAAACAAGTGGCTTAAATTTGTAATACGTGTATAATATTTGTATTGTCATTACAATCACTTTTTATTTGAGAAAACTCAGATTTATATAATTCATTTTATTATGGAATACCATCAAAAACATGCATTAATTAAATATTTTTAATTCCGAACTATTAAGCAAGATGATTTTTTTTTATTGTTTATACAGTTTAAAATAGATCTTACATGAATACTATTGTCCTTTCACAGAAACGAGTGTACAATCTGTAATTACTGAGTAGTGTAATCAGTATAGATTTAATAGACGCACAATATTAACATATAGATTTAATAGACGCGCAATAATATCATATAGATTTAATAGACGCGCAATAATAAATGATAATTAAAAAAACCCCCCATATTTAGGTTTTCAAAAAAATGTATTATGAATGTGACCTTAATTAAGCGGAATTCACTTTTTAACGATGAATATGAATTCAGCTTGCTGTTTATTACTGTACTTGGCAACACTCCAACAAAATTGTTGATGTGTTATTGGCTTAACTATATTTAATTATTTGATAATCGATCCATCTATGGTCTTGAATTGGATTCGATCTTTAGATTATCAATCTTTAAACTTGGATATACCTGATTAAAAATTATACTATTAAATGCACGAATATTTGTTTAATGAATTGATGGTTTTTGAGTTTGACACTATTTACCGCAATGGGATACATATTTAGGTTTTGGTTATGATCCCAAACTAGGTAAAAATACCGATTCCCAAACCCAAACTAAATAGAAACGCCGTAACTAAAAAAAAAGTTTGGGCCGCGACCCTATCCTTAAGGACGACCGGTACGACCACGAGGTGCACCTCGGAAAGCTCTTCCACGTCCGCCTCGCGCTGTATAAACATATAACGATTATTAGAGCTTATAATTATAATGACGTAATAATACCAAATACAAACCTTGAGCTCTTGCTACTGTAGCTTTTCCTCTTCCCATGCCTATTCCTCTTCCTTTCATGGCGTTAGGACCAATTTTTTTGAACATTGGTGCATTTTTCAACATATCAGGTACAATGAAAAATCGAACGTGTGAACCTCTAATGTACACTTGATCTAATTGTGAGACACGACCATCTCGTGCTGTTACAGTGATCTCTCGAAGTTGTACATTCATGTTATCTTCGGCTAATTTTGATTAAAATCAAGTTTATTAATCTTGTAAAAAAAAAAAAATTGCTTTAATAAAAATTTTTTTACCTTCAGATAATTTGCCTCTGTAAACAGTTCCATTGTTTAATTCTAGAGTTACAATATGACCTTGAGCTTCATGAAGTAACTTGATTGGTACACCGATCGACATTTTGATATGTGAGAAAGAATGAAAAAATATGTACTTCGAACATGAATATAACTGATAAATGTTTCGGACTTGTCACATGACTTAGATTATCGACAGCGATAAATTATTGGCTACTACAATAATTAACGTATTAACGGATTTGCAATCAGATTGGTTGATTTATTAATTTTAAGGTCTCCTGTCTTTTTTTTTCCTCAAAATATTGGAGAAAACTTTACTATTGTGCAATTGTGCGATTAAAAAACTTAGTGATCTCCGAATATCGGTTATCACATGAAGTTATTATACTGAAATTTCTGTTTATAATGAACTCCATAACGGAAATCTAGGCCGAAATTTTTATATAAAAATATAGCAAAGCCAAAATTTTCCTATTTTTTTTTTTTCAAAAAGTTGGCTGCGCCCAATTATGATTGTTATATATATGTATAGTATAATTTCCTTAACGTTAAAGCTGTAAAGATTGACTTTCACTTTAATTTGCACAACAGTATACGACAGCGATAGAGTTTATAAAAGGATCATGAACCTAGTCTTGTGATCGATTTAAACCAATTATACGTAGAATTAGCAGCAATATCTCTGTTATCCAATCAGAACTATGGGAAAAAATTAGTTAATGCGTATAATTAAAAAAGTAAAATGCTAGTCTTTTCGAAATTTAAATAATAACAACGATGTGTAAACATATATTAAATGCACAGGTATATTTTGTGGAAAGACTCTTCAACGTTTTTGATATCAGAATAACCCAATTTTTTGTAAATATAGGTTTCGATCAGGGCACCATGTTGTAAACGGTGGTTTGATTGCGCAGAGTGTCATAATGAAGTTTCAGATCATCAACTCCAAAAAACGCTCGAGATGGTCTTTGCTTGCAAGAAGTGTAAAAAAGTTTTCCGTAAAGACATGGAAAACTTTGATGAAACGGATGAATACTGTCCTAAATGTGATAATCATTATATAATCGATGCTAAAACGCCACAACTTGGTATTGGTGTTGAAGGAGATGATCCAAGATTAGACAACAGGTTGTGCTTAATTTCGTTAACAGACTTATAATTAATTATCTCATGGTTATTTATTTCTTTTTTTATAGAATGCACAAGGATGAACGTATTAAGTCCGATCCTCAGAAGAGCGTATTCAACCAGGATGCATCATATCGATTGGGATAAGGTTGTAATAATATCACTCTTTACATATATTTTTATATCGAACACTTTATATAATGAACTTATATAATATAGTTTTAATAGTATTAGTAATAGCATTAAATAACATTAGACTAAAATTCTAAATACAATCAAAAAAAAATTCAAGCATCACTAGATCAATAAAAATTAACACGTAGTTTTTTGGATTTGTAATTGCTCTAGCACAGTTCTGGCATCTGTGGTATTAATTATTGGTTACAATTTTAGAGATTGAATTTAAGAAATTTTCATAATAACATGATATATGCACAGATCGAATGGGCTCCAATCGGCATCACGTAATCCCGATATTAACCTTATTTTGGACAGGATGCCGATAGCTCTATTGGTAAATCGATAAAGCTTGCCTTATAGTTTTATATAGAGCTATCGGCATTCTGAACGCCTATATGAAATTATTAACGGTTGTTTTAATTTTATATAAGGTAATAAATATGGGTATTATGACGAAGTTAAAATATTTTAGATCGTATAATGAGATGCATTGATCGAAACCAAATAATTTTGGTACCTTCTGATTCGTCTCATCGAGCCGATAATAAAAAAAATTTTAGCCTTGGGGTATTATGACGGATCGGGATTATCCCGTGATTAGAATTGGATGAAATTTGATTCCTCTCGATAAGAGGAATCGAATGGTGTAAATTTCATCTGATTCTGATCACAAGATAATTCATAATATTCTAATATATATATATATATTTATTTATATACCTTATATATAATCTATATTGTTTAAATTGTAGAGTTTAGTAGAAATTAATACTATAAATTTAATTTACTTTTTAAATTATATATTTAAAAGTAAGAATTATACAACTTTTGGTAAATAGTTTGTTTGAAGGTTTTATATTAGATAAATGTATAGTAAGGTAGATATGGGTATTATTATGGCGCAGTTAGGTGTTTTAGCTACTAATACATCATATTGATATATCGATCAGAATTGTATATCGCTACTTATCAAATATATGCTATATATTGATTACTATCCATATCGATTGGCATCAGCAGGGATAATTAGTATCAATATATATCTATCTGGTTATACAGTATATTGGATTATTTTTTTTTGCCAATGATAAATGCACTCACAGATTTGTCATACTATTGGGTATCTATAGATTATGAGTAGTTGTTGATGATCTAAAGTAATATAATACAGGTGCTTTGATAACCCAAATTAATATAATATAGGTGCTGTGACAACCTAGAGAATCTCTGACAACTCACATATACTAAAACCTTAACTATTTTTTTTTTTTTTCCTTTGATAAAACTTTATTAAATATTTATTACTTGATACAAAACTAAGCTATTTAATACTCTAATTAGACTAAAACCTAGCTGTCTTTTAAAGATGCCCAAGTTTGGTTACCACATTAATGTTGGCCACTATATCTCACATACAGTGCAATGTATTTAAAGATATAGTCTAGCCTGGGCTCAGTTCCCATCAAATATTTACAATCTCCTAGTTCACCAACTTGATGGATTAGAGCTTACAATTCTTTGCTTTACCATTACTCTTGCCAAGTAACTTATTTCTGACTTTACCAATAGATTTACTTCTATCAACTTTATTCTTTTTTTTGCACTGGGTTGGTCTTTCTTGTCATCACTCTAACTGGGTATGATATTTTCCTTTCCATAGCTTCTTTTTCTTTCTTCATTTTTCTTTGGATGCTTTTTTTCAAAGCCAATATTATTTTCTTTTTCCCATGAGATAAATTTTCTACATCTTTCATCTTATACCAATCTGTGAAAGTATTCTTGCATACTGAAGCAAGCTGCTTTTAGAGTTTGTAATGTTTCTGGTTTGTTTTCTATTATATTACTTAGCCAAACGAGTGTGCTGCATCTAAAAAGACCTTTTGACAGAAAACTACATATCTTGACTCTTTTAGCCAATATTGAACCAAGAACTGCTTTCCACAAATCATAAATTGTCAAGGCTACCCTATATACTTTATTTATTAATGCCCAAGCTAAATTAATACTGTACTTCTTGATCTTATTCTACATCTTTTCAAGTGCTTAACACTGCATAAAATAGTCTGCATTTTCTATCTTATTATCTTTACAAAAGACACAAAATAGATCCAAGTACAGTATACTGTAGGTTTTCTTTTATATAGAACACTCTTTATTGGGAATACTTGTAACAGATTCTTCACATATTCTATTAATCTATTACTTTTTTTCCATTGAATCATATCTAATGCTTCTAAACTCTTTGAATCTCTTCTAGCAATTACCTCATATCAGATCTTCTGCCTTCTTACTCTCACTATGTAGATGGGTTTTCTTTTGCATATACTAGACACTTTCAGCTTTTATACCAGTAACTTGAAATATAAAAGATCTTATTGGAGAATCTACTTGTTCACCTCGCCATTTTATACTAAAAGGCCATCTAGACTGAACCTGACTAAAAATTGACCAATCTTTATCTAAGGTTATACTATCTTTCGCTAGCTTATTTGCAATTTTGTTCCACTTAATATCACTATATACTTTGATTTTATTTAAGCTTAATTTGAGCTTTTTAAACTAAATTGTCTTCACTATTTTGTCTATAATTAAATAGGTTTTTAATTTACTTAATACTCTAAAGCTTCTATTTTCTAATATTTTCTGAATACTATATATCACAACTATACTATTTGTATTAATTTTAACTATGTTTTTTGTACATATTGTTAATAAAGTATACCATATTGCCATTACTGTAATTCAGGTTTTGATGATGAAAGCTATTTCTCTACCCTTATGCTGTCTCTAAAAACTTCTATTTCAGATTGTTCTATATGTATTTGTATCTAGCCTGCATCTATTAGATTTACATCAGCAACTTTATTCTTTAATCGTATTCATAACCTATTTATAAAAAAAACTGGATTTATATTTTTTTTTTGTAGGTTGTGGTTTACGTTCTTTATTAACAAATTTTTAACCTTTTGATTAAACTGCTGATTTCTAATAAACGTGATATTTACATGTTCAATTGGCTAAAGTTTTATAAATCTCTTTTTTATTCCTGTTTAAAAATTGTCAGCACAAAAAACCAAGAAGCAGGAATTAGTATAGACCACTTATTTTCTTTCTTTATTATGCTTTTAATTTGGCAAAGGTTTTGTGCTACAGACTTTTTGTCTATGCATTGATTTTCTTTATCTACTGTATTTACTTTATATTTTGTATATCAATATAATACTTCAGTGTTGTACCCAGGTTCTGTTAACTAGTACTCAAAGTATATATCTTCACTTTTTACATTAATCGCTTAACCGATTATTAGTACTGTTGTTTTTTAATTTTTCAGTACTATCTAGAGCTTGCATCTTTTATTAGCTTTTGAAATCCTGAACTGCACTAAAATGTGTATCAAATTACTATGACACAATTGATATTTACCTTTTAGTTTCTTTCTTCTATAGAAACCAAAACTTTCTTTTTTACTTCTGCAAACTATTGTGCCTTCTTTCCACCTATATTTTTACCCTTTAAGGCTTTGAGCTGCTGCTATGTTAAAAGTACTTTGTCTTTATAATCAATTATCTGCTCTAAATAAAAAATTTCCAAGTTGATGTGGAAGTTTTCATTCTTTATAAATACTTTAAGTGGTATCAGGTCTATTATTATAAAGCTCATGCTCTTTATTAGCTACTCTTTTTTATCTATGCTTGGAAATATTTCTAATTGCTTGTATCTTTTAATTGTATTATAGGCAATGTTGTTTCTCTATCTATTTTTGTCTGCCTCGGTTGCAGTATACTCTTAAAAATTTTGGCTTATCCTCTTGTGAAAAATTCCTTGTCTAACTCTAAGCCTCATAATCTTATCAATTGTACTTATATTATTTAGACTTTTTAGCAACCCTACTACTTGTCTTGCTATGAGTATACTAGAAAGTAATTGAAAATCTAGCATGCTATTATGTAAAACAATATTGTTTAAGCTTGTTCGAGCTATACCTAGTTTTCTTTTGAACAAACATAGCATTGGTTGGTGAATCACTACTACTTCTTTCTTTGCAAGTAGGATAACTTGCAAGATATACTCTAATTTAGATATCAAAACTTGATTATTTATATAAATTAGCTAGCTTGCTATAATCTTTTTTTCTATTATATGTAAAAAAAAGCCTTACTATTTTCTTAGCTTTCTTTTTAATGTTTACTATTTCTCTCGATGTATGAAGTATAACTTCTAAGTACTTTATATCTAAAAGCTTTCTTTCTGCTTTAATTTTTGTATTACAAAAGTTTATATACTTTTCCTGTCTATCTATTACCGAGTTAACTACCACTAGCCTAGATTTGTTTCTATTTATTTTAATATCATTTAGTCTAAAAAATTGTTTAGCTAAAGCCACTATACGTTCTAGTTGCTGCTTTGAATCTGCTATTTAAGCTGTGTTGTTGGTATAGGCTAGTGCTACTTGTCTGACCTCTTTTATATAATCCAACTCCAGCAATACTTTTATTTCATTATATAGTTTAAGGATGTATTCTAGTTCTTTGTCTCTTTGTATCTTGTTAAGTAACAGATTATAAAAAATTCTCTAGACTAAGAGGAAAATGACTTCCTCTTGGTCTATACTATCTTTCACAGTAATTTCATCAATAAGACCAAAGCTTGTGATTATTTTAAGCTTTCTGTCCCTAAACAGATTTAAAATAAAGCTATATATAATTTGTGAAACTTTAATTCTCTTAAGAGCTTTTTGCAATATCACAAAGTTTACTGAGTTATATGCTTTCTTCATATTCTGAAAAAGGACTTATAGCTTCTTATTCTGCTCTTTAGTCTCTTTAATGACTGCATTTAGGATTTGAATTGGTTCTTCTGTTGAGTTGCCAGGCAGACCTGTGAAGTTTGGACCTTGTAGTATTGCTTTTTCATTTATAATCTTGCTGAGGCGCCTTGTTAACACCTTGGTTATATATTTGCAAAAA